TAATGTTACCAATATCGTCATCTTTCCTATTTTTTTTTACAATCGTTATCATTCTTGTCGTTATCATTTAATCGTTCCCCCAAAATATTAGGAAAAAAAAAATATTAACAACACATTAAAAGTCAGACATTCAGACAGACAGCGTTTCAAGGTCAGTAACATTAAAGGCATCAAAGGCGAAGCTTAAGTGAACAGACATGTCTATCACGTCTTTGACATGTTATTGGCAGATGAAGGGGTTACGTGGACATGTCAGTCTACTTTGGAGTAAAGTGTCAGTTAAGAATGAATTAATTTGTTTTGTTTACTTAATTATGTATCTTTTTGTTGATTTGCTTATCGTTAGGGCTTTGTTTGTTTGTTTCTTATATACATAATATATATATATATATATATATATATATATATATATATATATATATATATATATATATATATATAGACATACACACATACACACACACACACACACACACACACATATATATATATATACATATATATATATATATATATATATATATATATATATATATATATATATATATATATATATATATATATATACATACATATATATGTATATAGACACACACACACATTTATATATATACATATATATGTATATATGTATATATATATATATATATATATATATATATATATATATATATATATATATATATATATATATATATATATATATATATATATACACACACACACGCACACACACATACATAAAATTACACACACACACACTTATTCATAGTCACGCACACAGACATTACTTTTAGTAACGGAATAGTGATGGATATGAACTACTTTATCTCTATCAAAGATTGACAACTCACTTTACATGGACGCCAGTTGTACCCTATTATTATGCTATAGAACATTATGTAAATATATATATTTACATGTTTATGCGCATGTCCTTTTAATGCGGCGTGTGTGTGTGTGTTTGTGTGTTTGTTCGATTGTGTGTGTGTGTGTGTATGAGTGTGTTTGTGTGTGTGTGTGTGTGTGTGTGTGTGTGTGTGTGTGTGTGTGTGTGTGTGTGTGTGTGTGTGTGTGTGTGTGTGTGTGTGTGTGTGTGTGTGTGTATGTGTATGAGTGTGTGTGTGTATGAGTGTGTGTGTGTGTATAAGTGTGTGTGTGCGTGTGTGTGTATGTGTACATGTGTCTATTGACAATATACTTTCATCTTAAAGAGTAATACTAAAGAGATTTAATTTACCGTATTGTTGTGCATCGAGAGGACTTGTGTCACTTCACGTACCTGAAAGGAGAAAATTGTTTTTAATAAAAATGTCAGACTCATCCTAATAATAACAATAATGATAATAATAGCATTAATGATAATGATGATAAGAAATAATGATGATATGAAATAATAATAATAGTAATAATGATAATGCTGATAATAATAATAAATGCAATGATAACAATAATAATGATAACAATATCAGTAACAATGATGATAATGATAATAATGATAATAATATGTATACAAATTCATCATACCTGGCACATACATATCCACAAATATATACATATACGTACAGACAGACACACACATCTACACAAACGAACAATAACACACACACACACACACGCATAAACACACACACACACACATACACACACAATAAAGGACCTCACGATAAAAGAGGCAGAACCGAGCGACCGCTAAAGGATATGCCACCGACCATTAATCATGCTCGTCCTGCTATTACTGTACATTAATAAACATTAGCGCTAAACAATTTGCTAGTCGGCGTTCTCACGAAAGGGCGTGCGTGCGTGCAGTCTTGGGTGCGTGCATGCGTGCGTGCGTGCGTGTAGTCTTGGGTGCGTTGCGGGTGTGCGTGCAAGCGTAAGAGAAGGAGGGGGGAGGGGGGAGGGGGGAGGGGGTGTTGACTGAGCATTGCAAAGGAGGGCTGGGAAGGATGGGGGTAAGATAGGGGTGATGGGGATAGATAGATAGATATATAGATAGATAGATAAATAGATAGATAGATAGATAGATAAATGGATAGATAGATATATAGATTGATAGATTGATAGATAGACAGACAGACATACAAACATACAGACAAACAGACAGACAGACAGACAGACACGACAAACACACACAAACAAAACAAAGAACTTAACCAATCCGCCCACCCCAAAAAAAACAAAAAACAAAGCAAAACACAGATAACGAAACAAAGAGCCACATAATAGGTGGCTTGAGAAAGGTGTCCCCAAGTTTACGACATCTGGCGGTTGGCCTTGTCACCACGGAGCGATGGCGCCCCGGGCGACGGTCGCAATCGCTATGCACGCCGCCCGCCTCTCGCTCTGGCGCTGTCCGAGTTCGTTGTTTGTTTTCTTTCGTTTTGTTTTTCTTTCTTGTGTAGTTTTTGTTTGTTTTTGTTTGTTTTGTGTGTGTGTTTTGGTGTTTTTTTCGGGTCTTTGTGTTTGTTTTGTTTGTTTGGCTTCTTGTTTCTCTCTTTCTCTCTTTTTCTTTTTTTCTTTCTCTCTTTCGCTTTCTTTTTTCTTTCTTTTATATTGTTCACTCTTAGTGATTGTCTCTTTTCTCTTTTCTCTTTTCTCTGTCTGTCTGTCTGTCTGTCTGTCTGTCTCTCTCTCTCTCTCTCTCTCTCTCTCTCTCTCTCTCTCTCTCTCTCTCTCTCTCTCTCTCTCTCTCTCCTTCTCTCTCCTTCTCTCTCCTTCTCTCTCTCTCTCCTTCTCTCTCTCTCTCTCTCTCCCTCCCTCCCTTCCTCCCCCCTCCTTTTCTTCCCTCCTTTCCTTCCTTCCCTCCCTCCTTCCCTCCTTCCTTCCTCCTCCCCCTCATTCTCTCCTCTTGCATTCCTGTTACCACCTGCTCCTCCTCGTTCTCATTCTATCTTTCTCTCCCAAGACAGAATAGTAATAAGAAAAGTTGGATGATGACAGATGAGGAGAATAATGATGCTGACAATTAAAATCACACTAAGGAAACAGCAATTTTGGAAGCCTCGGCAATTATCATTAAGAAAGCAGACACGGTGAGTTTTACAAACGCTTCTTCTTGCCCAGGGAGTTGTGTGTATGTATATGTAGTACACACACACATTTCGTATACTCACTACACGCATTTAATACACATATATATGTATATGTATATATATACATACATATATATATATATATATATATATATATATATATATATATATAGAGAGAGAGAGAGAGAGAGAGAGAGAGAGAGAGAGAGAGAGAGAGAGAGAGAGAGAGAGAGAGAGAGAGAGAGATGTGTGTGTGTGTGTGTGTGTGTGTGTTATGTGTGTGTGTGCGTTCACGATAAAAAAAATATTAAAGACTCAAGAAATAAAATCCAAACACTGAATCGCACGATCCCTCTTCCCCTCATCACCGGAAGACACAAACACAAGCTCAAAAACCCTCGACCCTCGCCACGCCTTCAAACATTACAACAACGATACGAAAGATAAGGATTCTCCCTCTCGCTATTCCTCTCGGTTCTGGCTCGCCTTTATGACCTCCATCTCCAGCGGTCTGAGAACGGTCAGCTGATAGGCCACGGTGGGTCAGCTGTCCGTCTCCATCCCTTTATCACGCTGGTCAGCTGATGCCTAAACCGGGCCTCAGCTAACCGCCGACCCTTTAGTCAAGCCTGCTATAAAAAAAGGGCTATAAAATTGTAAAAAATAAAGGCTAGGGTAGAGAGAGAGAGAAAAAAAGGTCCCTGTCAATAACCCCTCATAGAGAGGCATGTGTATGTGCGTGTGTGTGTGAGAGAGAGAGACATAGGACCGTGGGGTTATAAGCCTCAGTTTTTACGTCAAGATGTGACAGGGAAGATGTGTCACCTTTACGTCTCCGGAATCAGCTTCTGTAACAGGTGGGAGCCTTTTTTTTCATCACTCTTTTTTACTTTTTTTTTTTTTTTTTTAATGTGATGGGGGTGGGGGAGGAAGGTGGGTAATGTATGTGGTTGCGTGGAAAGGTAATTCGTGGTTTCAGCGGTAAAGGGTTCTGACTGAAGGGGGTCTTTTAAGAATGGTTACACGGTGGGCTCCTAAACACGTGTTACCTAGTTCATTTTAACGCGTACTCTATTTTTCTTGTTTTTTGTGTGTTTACCTCGTACGTTACTAACTTCGCAAAAAACGATAATAATGATAAATAGATAAAAATGATAATAATTGATAATAAAACAAAAACATATGAACAAAATAAACACATCCATAATCAGCATTAAAAAAATAATAATAAAATGCAAGTCACTCTCCAAAATGTCCCGCACGCTGACACCCTCAAACACTCATCCGCTCATGCATTCGAACAATGCGTTCTGGTGCATGCCGGCGGGTCTGCGCTGGCGGGGCCGCTGCCACGCTCCGCCGCCGCCGGGAGAAGGATTTATTATGTTATTTTCATCTAACGTTAGTCCTTAAATAGTAGATGTATTTACGGTGATGTTAGGTGTTATTAATGGATAGTTAGTACTCACCAGGCTAATGTGTGTTTGATAAAATATCACATAAACGCGTCATTTCCGAGGGGCGGATATGGCGGCCAGCGATAGGACAGATCGTGCACAAGAAACATTGGAAACAAGTACACAATTACCGATTATATCCGTTTACGGCAAAAAAAATAAATAAATAAATAAAAAAAATACACAAAATAAAATAAACGCATTATGAAGTAACTAGGGGTGGAAGTGCAGAGGGTTGGGAGACGACAAAATGCAAAGTGAATATTGTGCAACGACCTCGTACTCCCGCGACAGTTAAAAATCGTCCGGCCAGTCAGTGACTTTTGCAAAAGCAGAGGAGTGTAGCGGAAGGTAGATCCTGCAACGGTAGCAACGTGCACGAGGCAAAGACCTTGCAACTGGCACCTTTCGGCTCTCGTTTTCTGCAGAGGCGACTGCGGGCCACGTGGGAGAGAGGGAGGGCACGGGGGAGGGGGTAGGGAGGCCAGGGGGAGGGGCGCCTCAC